TTCAGTTCAGCTCCAGACATTTTCTAGATCATTCCATCCACCTTCATTTTGGATGCATCACTAATCTCACTGTTCCATCAGTAAACTGTTACGCTTGTACTCAGTTCCTGTCTCCTACATTTTGTCCCTGTCCGGTTAAATGATCTAAGGCTGAATAATTACATTTAAAAATCAAATGTACAATTATTGCACATTCATCTAACAGACAATATAAAAACTTTATATATTTATAAAACTTTTATTCTGTCTGTGATGATAACAGAGTGGACCAACCTGAATAACATGATTCTTCTTCGCTCCTTTTTTTTTGTTTTAGATGAACAACCTGCTTCCACACTGACTGTGGTTTGTTGTTCCTCGGTCCACTGGATTAAAATGTAGACTCTGCTCTAAAAACATGCTTAACCCTGAGCTTTTGGCCTGCTCATTATTTATAACTGTCCATGTTCAATATAACCATCCACAGCTAACAGAAGACAAGGGAAAGTATAACAGGTCCACTTTCACCAATTACAAGACCAGACCATCTGATATTATAGTCCGGTGTGAAGGAGAGTTCAGGCTGGAATACCAACAGGGCGGCTGCACCTTGGACTAACACCCCCAGGGGCCCCGAGTAGTCTCCTGTTTTCAAAATTTCCATGTAGAAGGTTACAGAGTTTAGATGTGGTTTCAAGGCCGTGATTATTTCATTTTATCTCGTGCTTCCACGGCGCATTTTACTAAATGAAATTTCACTTAATCCAATGAACACAAAGTAATTGCTAATTACTACCATATATGCAGCGCTTGGAGAGAGAAATGGGGGAATCAGTAGGGACCAGCAGCTTATTTTATTTACCCCAGGCCTCCTCGAAGGTTAATCCAGTCGTGTGTGACAACACAGTAATGAGTTTTTTCTGTTTTGTTTTGTTTCCATAAGAAATCCTTTGTTTTACAGAACCTTCACGTGCCAGCACTGTAAAAAGGGAGGCTGCAGTGAAAATGAATGAGATGGTCTGGGATGTAAATTCTTGAGGATCGACAGTCTGGTTAAAATCGGTTAAAAGTTGCGATCTATGATTTCAGGGTCAAAGTGTGCGTAGGATTACAGCTTTGGTTCAAAAACCCAAATCAAACAGCTGCTGAGAGGGGTTAAAGTTCCATGTTTGGGTTTCATTACATGGGCTTCAGGCTGGATTTGGACTTCTTCAGTGTCAGAATATTACTACCTTATATGACCTCTCATTGTGCATGTAGAAGATTCGGTTGCTGATTGTGATGTTTGAACTCTTTTAACAACAACAGTGTGGCGAGCGCACAGCTAAGATGGATGATTCATCAGCATGAGATTCTGCTGCGTCACGTGTGAACAGATGACTGCGGCTCATTCAGTTTGTTACTGCTGAACACATTAGCGAGGTCTGTGTGAGAAAGAATACACAAGGTGCTCTGTTAGAGGAAAATAACTGTTGAGGAAGGGACTGCAAGATGCAGATTGCACTGTTGATTTCTCTGCTGAGTCTGTTCGGTGCGTCCCACTGAATTAGATTCTAATTGTGGCAGCAGGCAGTGATAATCCCTGTCCCCCTCCTAACCACTGCCACAGGTTCTCGTTGTAGCCCCTCCAACTCTTAGAGTAGAGCAAGGACTATATTCATCGACGCAGTCCAAGACAATGGAACTGGACTTACTGAGGAGAGACGGGTGGTCATTATCGAGGAACTGCTAGTGCCCACTAAGCTTGTATAGAAATGCAAGATGGGAAGGGCTGGAGACAGCACAAAGTAAAGTAATATAGCACATTTACCTAATTACTTGCCAGAGAGAGTGACTTATAGTATTACACTACTCATTACATTATCATTTATTTGTAAAATGGCCAAGTGCATTACCTCATAATTACAGTTAACCATGTAAACCTGAGGCTATAGTGCCACACACTAGAGGAAGATTGTCTCTATTTGCATGAATGTAACATCTTTGATGTGGAGATATCATCTGAATTTCAGGAGCGGGACCACTCCTCCTTCACGCACCCTCCAGCCTCAGGCTATAAAAACCCCCCTTCTCCAATACCTGCTGTTCTCATTTTCATGCCCCCCCCTTTTTCTTTCCTCTCTTCTCCTCTCCTCTCTTCCTTTCCTCCCTTTATTTCTCGTTAGTACATGGGGTTCTGCCTGGCCTGAGAGCCGTCCCCAGTCCCCTTCAAGCCTTCCCCAAACCGTAGCACTATTCACACTCCTCATCCCTTTACCAAGGATGTGGTCCCTGCTAGTGAAATGCTGCTCAGTGATTGTTGTGATGGGGAAAGTGGAGCCAGTGAGAATTGATAAGTGATATTGATAATGGAACAGGAATTGCTAAATTCTTGTCAATTCCCTTTCCCAGTGGTGATATGAAGATTACTTTTATTTTTATTGCACAAACGAACAAGAGCACAATGCTAACACAACTTCCGTCCTTTGTAAGAACGTGCACAGACAGCATGCTAACGCTAAGCTTACCAAGAACCCAGAGTGATGACATGCTGCTGCCCTGAACTTCAACAGATAACAAGACCTTTATCATTATTCTGGGTTCTTGGCTAGCGTAGCATTAGCATGCTTTCTGTGCAGGTTCTTGCAAAGAGCAGAAGTTGTGTTAGCAACATATTGCAGTTGTTTCTGTTTTGGGTGATGTCCACATCGCCACTCCTACAGCTGATTGTAGCAAGGCAGGAAGAAAAAAGCATGTTTGCTTGATTCCACCCAGCATGCAGATATCTAATGAACGTCTGTAACGCTAGTAAGAAGATAATTGCAACTGTAATGTGATTACTGAATGTTGTACACTATTACATTAACGAGTTACTGAAAAAAATGTAGTGTGATTACAGTTTAGATCTCTTTGTAATGTGTTACACCCAACACTGGTGGTGGGCAGCCCTTGTGTAGCAAAGGTGTGCGTTTTCTTGAATAACCCTTACTTTCCAGACATTTTGTGTCATTTTCTGGGTCTTTGATTTCTGGCTTGGTTGTTTTATTCTCCTTCAGTCCATCTCTGTCTCGTCTCTGTGTTCTGTCATCAGTGTCCCCGGGTTTCCCTGCAATCTCCTTAGTCATGTCCCCGAGTCTGTCTGGTGTCTCTGTGTTCTGTCTCCGTGAATACGTTTGTGGTCGCGACACGTGTCTCCCCTCCTGTTCCCATGTTTATCTCTTTGTCTTTTGCCGCTTTGTCTTCCCGGTCTGTCATGTCTCCATGTCTGTTTATCCCCAGTCCCAGTGTCAAGTTCACATGTCTTATTCTGTGTGTGTGTGTGTGTGTGTGTGTGTGTGTGTTGACAGACTCCTGTCTTGTGGGAGTGATGTTCAGTTTTGCTTCCCCCGTCTCATTAGTTATGATTTAGTTCAGCTGTGTTCCCATGTGTCTCCATCTCCCTTAATCACTCTCCTGTGTATAAATTGTCTGTGTCTTCCTCTGTTCGTTGTCGCGCTCTCCCTCGTGGTGTGTGTAGTCTCTGCCTGCCCAGCTTAGGTCAGGTGTGTGTTAACATGACATAAAGCATCATTGATATAATTACCTCCCACACAGTCTGCACTTTTTCTCCAATTCAATTTATTGACAGTGTGTGTCCATCTTTACATAGCCACTTTGACTGTTAGTGATTTTCCCCATGCTGGACTCAAATTGTCTTGTTAATGTTGTAATCCAAGCAGAAACCTCTGAGGCTGATAAAAGCGCCTCAAACAGTTTCTCTGATGGTCGTTTGAGAGTTTCTCTAAAACAGACCAAATCTCCACAGACTTGTGTTAAAATTTACAGCAGAAAAGTAAAGATTCACACTTTTAGTGTGTAGTTAGTCATTTAGATGCAGATGGACAGCCGAGTCTTGTCCCGTGGAGGTGGCTCTTCTATGTTGTGCCATGCGTTGGTCTGTTTGGCTGTCTCCAATGTAGAGGTCTGGGCATTCCTCACTGCACTGTGCAGCATACACTACATTGTTAAGTTTGTGTTTAGGAGTTTTTTCTTTGGGATGAACCAGTTTTTGTCTGAGTGTGTTTCTGACCAATAATAAAACTCATTGCACTAAAAGCCATTCCAGGAAGCTTGTGCTTGAGATTATTTTTATATTACTTTCCTCTGATTAGCTTACCATAAACGTATTCAGTTTATGGATGCAGCTTTGATACAGGGCTAACAAGCCTTAGTTGTAAACTTAGCACTTAGAAATAATTAGGTTAGGAAGCTGCGGCGAGCTGAAAGTCAAAAGAATATTCAGTGTCATAAAGTGGCTCTCTTTTGTGTCCAAAGTCGACAATTAAATGACCCCCTGTGAGCAAGCACTTTGGCGACAGTGGGAAGGAAAAACTCCCTTTTAACAGGAAGAGACTTCTGGCAGAACCAGACTCAGGGAAGGATGGCCAATTGCCACGACCAGTTGGGGTGAGAGAAGGAAGATGGGAAAAAAATAATACACCCCTCGGGTAGGCTCGCTCCAAAACCAATGCTGGCTACATCCATCTGTTTACACTTTAATTCGTTAATAAAAATGTGTCAACGTAAATGAAATGCAGTCGAGGACGATCAAAATAATGTCAAGCCATGAACTGGTAACTTTGTAATTTCATGTTTCAAATATACCCGTTTGCTGTTACCATAGTAACCACAGTCAGCTTAGCAAATGTCCCAGGAGGGAAAATAAATAAATAAGTAACCTGTAAACTGACAAATAAAAATGGCTAACCTGTGTAAGGTCAACACCTATTGAGGAAGGCAGACAATTTTTAATGGATTTGAAAGAGGAGTTCACACACACGCTGAAACATTTCCCGCGGCTGACTGCTCCTGCAGATTTAGAGGACTGATAGTTTATCAATAAACCAATTTAGTGTGGCCTGGTTGTGTGTCAGCTCTCCGGGATTATAAATATGTTAATAATAGTTCTCCATCGCATGTTCAGATGTACTGATTCTGTCACGGCGACGGATGGCCGGTACTGAATAGGACTCAGGTGCAGAAACCCAGAGCGGAGACAGTAGATGATTTAACAGTTTATTACGGTTAAGTGCAAGGGGGAAAAAAAGGGAAACGTGGCAAAGACAGAAAATGACGAGACGTGGAGCCTTGGTGTGGCGTGCCCAGGGGAACGTGGCTAGGGCGAGGGAACGAGGCCTGAGAAGTGGAACGGAGCTGAGTGGGGAACAGTCACACTGAGGGGAGAGGATATAGGAGTTAGGCGGGTAGTGAAGGCAGCTCAGAAGTGGCCAGTATAAGAGCAGCAATTCTTACTTGCAGTTAGGGACCTGGAGTGTTTGAGAGGGGGATGATGAAGATCCAGGGGAGGCTGAGTGGCGTGGAAAGGCTGACCTGAGATCCGGGGCTCCAGATGGAGTGTGATGGCAGGAGGGCAGGCAGGTGAGGCACAGAGGGATTTCCAAAATGATCACTAGGTATCCCGAGTCCGGAGGTGGAGTGAGCCAGGGTGGGTACAGCAACTGTAGTACAAAAGAGTCTTTGTTAGTAAGATAAATCACAGCGAGAATTTGAAACACAAGACCTGTTACCAACATGGGTTGATGACGAACTGGCAGTGAGTGAACATCGATGTGTGGTTTAAATCCCTCTGGCTTGATAGCCTGCAATAGGCTCCAGGTGTGCAGGAGCTGGAGTTGGCCCTGCCCAGGGGCGGATCCCAGGTCAGTTCAGGAGCCTAATGGAAACTCCAGCCACCCACCGTAGACCATGACAGATTCAAATCAAAAGACTCGGGCAGACAGCCACACATATTTTATCAATAAACCATTTTACTCCGGACGGCTTGTCAGTACCCAAAGACTGCAGAGGTGGAATAATGATGCTAATGCACTCACTCCGGTGACCCGTCGGCCGCAGCCAAAACCCAGATCTGCATGCTGGAAGGGATACAACTGTGTGGGCCTTCATTCAGGGCTGACTTATACTCAGCTCCTGCCTCCAGTCAGAGTGTGTAAATAATGCACGGCTGTAAATGTTGTAGCTGAAGCGATCGCTCCCTCTGTACAAAAATAACAAATACACAGCAGAGAGGTCTCTCATGAAAACTGCATGCAGGCATTCAAGGAAGTGTCTTCAGGTAGAATGTCTCCTATATTATTGTGACAAAGGTAGCAGTGACACATCGCTGCGTGTGATTGATATCCAATTTGTATTGTGTTTCTGAGGGGGTGGGCTATCAAAGGTGTATGACCACTTGAGTGACAGCTGATAACAGTCCACTGAGAGGAAACAGACCAGCAACATTGTTTTTGAAAAATGTCAAAAATAATTGGATCCTTATTGTGATTGTCAAGCACCTCTCCTGTCATCTCATCAGACACGCAGCAAATTAGAGAACATGAGAGAGAGAGTGCGGCGCGTTCAGTGATAGCAGATTTTCCCACGACTCATTTCAGAGGGTCAGAGAGAGAACGGAGCGATTTGGAGGACACGTCTCCAGTTTTGTTTCTCTCTGTCTGAACTTCAAAAACATGTATTTTGGCATTAAAGCCAGTTTAGCTGTTAAAGCTTCTGTTAAAGGGGGTGGGGGGTTGTATGAGGTCAAGTCAAGGTCAAGTTTACTTATATAGCACATTACCAACAGTGCTGCATAAAGTCCTTAGCAATGTGAACTAAAATAAATAAAATGCACAACAGTGATGCAATAAAATATAGAAAAATAAATAAAATAAGTCAATAAAAAACACTAAAATGACAAATAAGGCTGTTGAAACCAAAAGTTTTGGTCAATGTGTGTTAAAAGCCAGACCATAACAATTTAAAATGTTCCAGCATTGGTGCAGATCTAAGAGTCTAGGACCTGCCACAGAGAAGGCTCTGTGGTCACGAGATTTAAGTTTAGACCGTGGAATAGTTAAGGTTAGTTTTGACCTGGACCTCAGCTGGAAGGTGTGGCTTTACCTTGGCTAGCTCTCTCAGGTGAAACAGCTGGATTGGACTTCTGCACTCACCGGCTTACACAGCTTAAAGGAACGTCTTTTTTCCATTTGGCTGACAATCGGAAGATAAGAGCCCAGAGCACTGTCAGTGCGTTTATTAAAGAAGTTGCCAAAACAGTGAAATGAAAGTACCAAAAAGTTGATTCTGTTCTTCTGGACGTACAGTTTTCAGTGGGAGAAACGTTTTGTCACTCATCCAAATGACTGCTTCAGTCTCAGCTGACCTTGTAAACAGTACATTTGCATAATGACTGAAACTTTTGACCAAAGACCATGTACACATCCTGGACTGGGAGGAACGCTGGTTTGAGCGCGGAGTCAAGGAGGCCATTTATGTGAAAAGGGAAAGACCATCTCTGAATGAAGGAGGGGGCCTAAGGATCATCTGTCACCATCTTACAATGCTGTGATTGCAGCCATTCCCCAAATCTCTGTAAGAGAGAGCAGTGGGCTTTGATCAGTGGTTGTTGATCAGTGGTCATGACAATTTGCATATTAATGATCAAGGAACTGACCTCCCAGCCCATTGTTCCTTCAGTGGGCTGGTTTCAGTCATTGTGCAAATGTCCTGTTTATAAGTCAGCTGAGACTGAAGAAGTCACCTGGATGAGTGACGAAACATTAGGATCTACTTACCTGAATGATTGAGCATGCATCAGGACAGTGAAAGGAAAATTTGTACTGTGAGAAAATAGAATATAGTATGAATGTGGGGCATCAGTATTGTGAGGAGAGATCATGCTCAAAGTGATTAAGCTGTAAGGGCCAGGGACATACTGCAAGTAGGACGGACGCCAATAACAATTATGACCACAGTTACTAATGTGTCTGACAAAATGAAATGTTAGCCTTTGCCATGTTTGATCCCCTAAATGGAAAATCTGTGTTTCTCAGGCTGTATCGGGGCCTTACCTTGAAGGTTAAATGTTGTGTAACTACGTGCTCATCCTGAGCTGTTCTGTACGAAAGCTTTGTCTGGGACACCGTCTGATCCAAGCAGTTAGTGTAAGAAATAACATAGTTTTCACGAGCGCCCTGCACCCAGCTCATTCAGACAACGGTCACCTCAAGCTGCTTTGAACTGCAGATCATTGAGCACAGAGCACTTTTGACTCCCAGGGATTCCCTGCGCAAGCAACGAACTCGTTACCTGAAACTTTGCACACTGAGTGCATGTTTTTTTCTCTAGTCCTGACTCGCCATTGTCATTAAACAAATGAGAGAATTTACAGCCAAAGTTCATTATAACCTACATGATTCACCAAGAACTTCCAGGATACAGTATAAGACCTCCTCATTTCACATCACCTCCTGTTCATCTGCAGCTCTCCCAAACCTCTGCTATGATGTTTCCCTCAGTTTTTACATTTTCTTTTCATTAATCAAATGTATTGATAATGGGGAAAAAGTGCAATATTAGAAATATACATTTATAATAATTTGCAACAAACGTATTTATAAAGTAAACATCCACCATCATAAGTATTAAAATACAGAAATGAGGAAAAGAATAACAGCTGGTCCCCTTTAAAACTAAAGGGCTGTTTGTAAGTGTCTGCTTGTATTGGCTAAACATAACCCAGAGGGAATGGACACATCATTTACTGCTTGTTGCTTAGAAGAAAATAGCTCCTACCAAGACGATGTAGTGTAGTCAGAGCTTATTAGGCCACTGACATGATTTCTCTTGCGGCGTTTCTTCACTCCAGTACATTTCAAATGAAACAGTGACTCTTTTATAAAGTTGTGGCACTCTGCGTTTACTGGGCGGCCATCGCTGCAGGAACAACAGCCTCTGTCGACTTTCTTCTGTGGACAGAACGTAATTGGGAAATATTGCATTTTTAAGCAGTATGATGGGGACTTACACACCTGAAGCGTTCCTCAAGCTGCACTCATGTTGTTATGCAGTCATTTCTTCTGACTCTGTCCTGCTTCTGCATCACTGGGGATTAACGTCTCTGTCTGAAGATGAGAGCTATTTGCAGGAGTTGGAATTTGGGGGTAATCTGGTCCAGATGGAAGATTTGCCTGCTTGTCTCCAGCCTTTAATACATCCATTGTGTGTATGGTGTGTTTGTAAAACCTGCTCATGATTTGCTTTAAACGGGTTTGTTGCCAGGTGGACCAAGTTTGGGCAGCCTGGGTTTAAAATTGTGCAAATATTTCTGTCATCAGCTCATAAACTTCATTAACTGAGGCTTTATCTGTTATAAAAAGGCTAAATACCCAAGTTTTAAATAGAAATCGATGTGAGAGTAATTAAATTTAACTTGTTAATTGTGTTTGCAGAAATCTTCGTACATCTGCAAATTAATTTTGCTTAAAGAAATTAATCTCTGTCTCTCTTCCACAGCATGTCTTCTACCCTGTCCTCCTTCTCTCACCCCAACTGGTCGCAGCAAATGGCCCCGCCCCTCCCTGCGTCTGGTGCTGCCAGGCTGAGAATCAGTTAACCAGTTTTCCTGTTAAAAGGGAGTTTTTCCTTCCCACTGTCGCCAAAGTGCTTGCTCATAGGGGGTCATATGATTGGTGGGTTTTTCTCTGTATGTGTTATTGTAGGCTCTACCTTACAGTGTAAAGCACCTTGAGGCGATTGTTGCTGTGATTTGGTGCTGTGGGAATAGGGACGATTATCCCAAAAATGAAAAGGGAACAACTCCAAGCTGAGATCCTTTTGTAGCTTCGGTGTTTCATGTATCAGTGAGGAAACAAAGGAGTTGGAGACTGATGGGTGATTGGTTCAGAGTCTGCAGTGATTCTTTCCCATCCCTCACTGAGGCCATTTGGGCATCTCTATGGGATGCTTCATTTTGGATGTCTAGGTGAGGTACTTTTCTAACAGGGGAACTCGAGGTAGACGCAGGCGATTGTGTTTATCGGCAGAAGCGGTCATGTATCAAGCTGAAGAAAGCAAACATTTCAGCGTAATCTTGATGTCTTGGCTGAACAACAGTTCCAACATGGAAGCTGTAACGGCATCAAAAATACAAGTCCACAACTGCTGGAAGTGACTTTTCAGTGTGTCCTGAACATCCTGTTGGGCTTTGCAAGGCTTTGTCTTCAAGAATTGTTTTATATTTAAATAAAATTTTATTCGAATAGTTTGAGACCCTTTTGTTATGATCACCAACAGAAAAAATGCCTGGCATGAAGGCTTATCGAACTCCTGATTTCTTATTATTCTTACCCACTCCTTATCCTACTGAGCTTACACACAGGTGACAATGATGATGACAGTAAACAGGCTCCTGTGATACTGGTCTGTGTATGTCAAGAGTATTTTAATTAACCAACTTTGTGGTCAGTCAAATATTCTTGCTCATGTTGTCAACTTATATTCTGCAAAAGTGCGAAGCAGCAAAAGTTCAGTGTTCATGATATCAAAGCAAATATTGTTTATTGAACAGTTTCTGATGCATAAAATAAATTCATATGAATAGACCTGGGCCTGTTTGCATGCTGCATCACAAATGTGAAAAATATTCCTACTACTAAGCAAGCTGAACAGACCCAGGGTGTCTTAGTGGGTAAGTGGTCACCCGGAGCTAGGTCCGATCTGTCGGCTGATCCAGTCATGAGCATGTTCACATGAAAGGTGTGACATTGGCAACATCTGACCAATAATAATGTGTTGTAAGGATCATACAGTGATGTGCACATTTATTGTACCAGTCGCTGATTGGGAACGATAGTTGGAAAAATATGAAGGGGTTCTAAACATAATAAAGAATTCAAGTAACACAGCAGCTGCAGATGAATCATCG